CGCAGCAGTTTAAACAACTTATCTAACCAGATACTATGTTTTATGTTTAAATGTCTATTCTTCAAAGTTTGATACGTTTTACATTCTTGGGAATATAAGGTAGGTGATAGATGACCTACTTTTAGCCATATTTTTGTAATTTTAGAGATTTGAACTTGTGAATAAAATGAAACCATATTTTTCCCATTTTTTATTTAAAGATATTTTTAGTTTAAGTTAAAGACTTTACTCTTTTAAATGCATCTTTTATCAAATTTCATCAAAAATATTTCTTTTTAATGTTAACACAACGGTTGTATTTATTATGCATATTAAAAATATGTAGTATCAGAAATGTGGCACATTATTCCAAAAAGACTGTCGCATTATATATATTAGTGATTTGTGAGGATTACGTTATATATAAATATATGTAATAATATAATATGACATTATATAATATAATATAATAATAATAATAACTATAATAAAATATTATATAGTATAATAATATTTGTACAACTTCATTTTTTCAGGCCGAATGTTGTATATACTTTCCAAGCACTTTCTGAAGAAGACAGGAAATTATGGTTAGATGCCATGGATGGTAAAGAACCAGTACGTACTTAACTTTCTATGAGTATTTTAAACTATATCGTAACTGAACAAATAGTTACTACGTTTATTTTTTTAGAATTGTCCTGTAGTTGGTGCAGCGACAAAATCTGAAGGAAACGTCTTAGAGGAAACATTTTCTGGTTCTTTATTTGTATCAAAATGTATTACTGCATTGGAAGAAAGAGGTAAGGTTTGCAAATATTCAATAATTACTCACACAATTGTCTCCTGAGACAGATATTTTATGTCTCTCTTTAAAGATTTACATAATACGTATACAACATTATTTTAGGTCTTGAAGAACAAGGCTTATACAGAGTAGTTGGTGTTGCATCAAAAGTAAATAAGCTACTAGCGATGGGATTGGATAGAAGGAAATTAGAAAAACTTAACATGGATGATCGCTTCGAATGGGAAAGTAAAACTATTACCAGTGCGCTCAAAACTTATTTGAGGACATTATCTGAACCATTAATGACTTTCCGATACTACAATAGTTTCATTTCAGCTGCGAGTGCGTATAGGTATTCTCTACAATATTATTTTATTTAAAATCCTCAAATTAAAACAGTATCTTTTATTCTGTTGCATTATTGTGAGTAAATATTGTTTATATAATTTTATTTTCAATTCCCATTTTATTCGTGTACACGTCATTCATGTTAATATAATGTATTCCTTCAATACGATTCAACACAGAACAAGAGACGAAAGAAGCACGTATAAATGATATACACAATCTTGTTTATCAACTGCCGAATGAGAATTTAGAAATGTTAATTCTTATTATTGGACATCTATGCAGGTAAAGACTGGGTTCAACAAGCTTTTATTATTAAACTCTGAAATTTTTATCGATCAAATCTGAATAATTATATCATTGTTTTCAGTGTGGCAAAGAAAAGTGATAAAAACTTAATGACTATTAGCAATTTAGCTGTATGCTTTGGACCGTCTTTATTAAGACCAGAAGAGGAAACAGTGGCTTCTATTATGGATATTAAATTTTATAATATTGTAGTTGAAATTTTAATTGAAAATTATGAGAGAATAATTGCTGGACCTCCACAAGATACAGTACGCTCAATGCCAGGCACACAAAATACCGTTCCTTCTAAATCTCAACGTGTCAATGTCGAGGATGGGTCAACGTCTTCTGGAAACGGCACTTCTTTCTTGAGACACCCAATGCACACTAATATACCGTCACCACATTCACATGTAACATATAAATTTATTTGATAAAACGATTTAAAATTAGCGACGCGTAATTTTTTGTGAATAAAACTTGTTTAAGATTCTATTATAAATTTACACAAAGAAGTGAAAACATAATTGGAGTTTAAAAATATTTATTTTTGAGAACTAGAGTGTACATCAAAGTTCTGATGGTAAAATGTACATGTATTGATAATTTGTTCTAGCTTGTTACAAGATCATATTATGATGGTCCATTAGCGGTTGTTACTAAATCATCTTCAGTCGATGATCGAAAAAACGGAGATTATGAAGAAACAGAACACGCAAGTCACAGAATGCCAACATATTTAGATAGTCGAGGTGGCCGTGTCAAATTATCTAATGCAAATGTTATCTACCATTCTGCGGATAAAGGTTTTATTTTATCTTAACTCTTTTTAAGAACACTTTTTCTTCGCTAGTTGGGTTTTAGACAGTTAACATTTTGTATTTACCTGTGTGTGCAGTATTAACGAGTGGCAACACAAGTAGTTCAAATGAGTCAGTTGCGTCTGATCCACATTCCTTTACATCCGATTTACCGGTAAAACAAAAGCGTGGTTCTATGATGTCTGTACATTATGCATCGGGCTATGCTCAACGAAATAATCCATCAGTATCTGTGTAAGTTTTTGATTTTGTATTCCTTTTCACTGTAATCAGTTGCGTACCTCCTCCATCCGTCATACATATCTTATTCTTTTAATATTCACAATCTTCCATAGACCTAATACATCGCCCAGTAGTGGACGTTCAAGCCCTGGACAAGTACCTGGTATTTGGTAAGTGTATATTCGCCGTTGACCAATTTTTGTAATATAAATAGTTTTTTTAGTAGCGGGAATTTAACTATATCCAACTTTCAGGAGAGTTCGTACCTTATATGCCTGTTTGGCAGAAAACGATGGCGAGTTATCATTTGAACCAAATCAAATTATTACAAATGGTATGTAAAATACGTGATATATATGAATAATCTCAGTTTCTAAATAATGAACTGTGAATATTTATGTAACATTACAATTTTCTAAATTATTTTGCGAACACGCAAAATAATTGCAAAGATTATGTCAAGGTTATGTCAATAATTTGCTATATATATAGATTAATGTACTGAATTCAATTCTCCGTTACAGTAAAGGCCTCTTTGGAACCAGGATGGTTAGAAGGCACACTAAATGGCAAGACAGGATTGGTCCCAAAGAATTATGTTGAACAATTACCTTGAATTTGGAAAACCAAAGAGTGCCTACATTGTTTTTACATTCCGTAATTGTAATTTTTGTTTAGTACTATTGCCTACTGAAGCATGTATTCATGAATGCTATATGGTAACTTACCTGAAACGCAATGTTTTGTATTTAAATTCCTTTGGGTACAATTTACATAGTCAATTATATATACATTCGTATGGTGTTTATACACCTTTTATTTATTAGGAGCCTCTTTGCTCAAGATGGTCT